CCCCAAAACCCCAAAACCCCAAAACCCCAAAACCCCTCCACTCAAATCCAACCTTGAACTATGCTAAATAAACCTTCAAGTTAAAATTCTTGGGATCCTTCATAATCTGAGTCACTATTCTACTAGCTATCTCTATTCTGTCAGATAAGGCCTACTTGTGCTTAGACTTCCTTCTGCTAGTCTTGAAGGGTTTGAAATATCTGTGAGGGGAAGTCAGGATTTTGAAGAAGGGGGTTAGGAGGGGGTTTTAGGAGGGTTGGCTTACTGTGTGTGTTGGAGGTGGGGTTTTGGTATAGCTAGGGGTTATTGGGGGGTTACTGGGGATTTGTGGGGGAAATTGAGGTTGAGTAGTTTTTGGCATTTCTAAGGTGGTTTTAGGGATATTGAGAGGTGGGGGTTACTGAATAGCGATTTTTAGAGGGCTTGATTGGCTTTTTGTTCAGTTTTGGTAGAGCGAATGATTTAGGGTGGGATGTTGATTTGTGTAACTTTTGGTTCACACTGTGAGGTTAGCATAAAGCGTACCGTGAGCGATCTGGTCTTTCTTGAGAATACCCATTTGAGTTTTGAACTGATTTTCGAGGTTTTTTTAAAATATTTGTTTGATGCTGAAGTGTGCTTCTCACTATGGAAGACTGATACTTGCTGATCTGGCTTTTGATAATATCCTTTTTAAATGTGAAACTTCCCTTATTTATCTCTGTGAGAAGGCAATTTTGTTAGATAAGGCGAGAATTTTCATTTTGAGTTAGTACTAGTTAATCTTTTGTTCTAAGAATAAGTATAGTTATTTACACTGTGAGTAGATACGTTTTCTTCTTTTGGAGTTCAATTTCTTTCCTAATAACATTATTCATTAAAAATTGCCTGATGACTTTTATTTGATTTATCAAATTCATTATTTTATTCTTGCTATGAATTAAAGCTACATTATTACTTTTTAACTTGGTTCTTTTAAGATTATCATCGAGTATAGAGACTAAGTCAAGATTTTTCATTTCTATATTATCAAAATCCTTCACCACTAAGATTTCCAAACACTAAAAGAGGCGATCACTATAAAATAATTCCTAAATTCTCCCACTGACCGTACTCGTTTTAAACTTCTTCCTCAATTCAGTACTTTTCCTATATAAATCTTAACTCCCCTCTCCAAAATCCCCCAGTCCCCAAAACACCCAAAACTCACCTAAGACTGCCAACATACTGCTCTTCTTCCTTCTTCTGCTGAGTATACCTCCTATTCATTTATGGTCTGTTAACTCTCAATATATTTATAATTTCACGGGGTTTTGGGGTTTTGGGGTTTTGGGGTTTTGGGG